CAATGATCATAAAAGACGGAATTTAATCTGTGATATTTCATATCTGCAATATGTTCTTTTAATCTTGTATTTAGCTTACGTTTGGTTTCACCTATATAAATATTGGCATCTTTACAAGTACACGGGATCTGGTAGACTACATTCTTGGTTTCTTCTTTAGTCTCTCTACTTTGTTTTGTACATTTTGTTTTTTATTCTGGCTTGAAGTTTTTCGTACTTAGGTGCAAGTTTTATGTTTACTTTCCTCATTTCTTTATTAATTTCTTCATATNATTTTTATATTGTTCTCTAAATTGAAGGCATTCAAAAAAACTAAAACAGATTTCTGGCAATGCTTGATAAGCTTTATGATAATTGTAGCAAGTATATTGCTACAGATTAGAACATATTTCAAACAATATGTGATAAAGAATTTAATTACAAGTAATCTTCAGCTTAAGAATTCCAGAATGGAATAGTGGTAATATAGTTTCCAAAGCTGCATTACAGAATTAAGCCTGTGTACATCCTTGGGAATCCAACACACTATTGCATATTGAATATCATAAACAAATAATCTGCATCAACACCCATAATCTAATATTAGCAATGCTGTTAAGATACTGAACATTGAAGTTTATCTAAAATATGGGATTTTATTAACAAAGAAACTTAAAGCTGATTAATACTTCATGAAAGTGAAAAACCAAAATAATAATAAAGAGGAAAGACGCATAGTTCAAAATAACAAAAGAAACATGCAAGTTCAGTACCTGTAGTTTAAAATATGCTGTCTCAGCCATAGTCAAAAGCATGCTTTGAAAGCATACTCAAGGCATAAACTTTTTAAAAAACAAGAGTATATGCAGTTGATTCCCATTCTCTCTTCTCCTCAAATTAATTATTTTCATTAACTTTGGAGAATATCAAAAAGTGTATTTTTTAATATATTTAAAACTTATTTTAGATATTTGGACTTAGATATTATTTTAAAATAGTCAACTCCAGATAGATAAATGAAGAATTACAATTTGTTGAAGAAAGTTCTAATAATTTCAATTTTATCAGTCTCTATGTCAAAGGATTCAAAGAATTGTAGGCTATCAACAGAATGGATGTATGTCACTAGTAATGCACAAAGCATTAAACCTAAACCCGTTCAGTTAATATAAAATGTACCCAATCATTCATTCATATTAATACATAAATTATTTTTGATTATATAAAATTATCTTCTTGAAACTTAATATTGGAAAGTAATCATAACATAAATGAAATTTGATAAATTTTCAGTTAAATTGCTTAATTTTCAAAATGGGATTGTAGTGATACTGCATCAGAGCTGTAATTTGTAATTTTTTTTGCCAATTCAGGCAACAATGCAACATGTAATTAGTAGATACATTTCATTTGTTTTCTAGATACAGATTGCCCATCACTAATCCAAAACTAATTTCAACTAGCATAATTTCAAATTTTCCATGTTGCCACACCAACCCATCATTACTGTTTGGAGGTGCTCAATATTGCCAGACATGGGCATCTGCAGAGGAGACAGATGGGATACTTCCCCTCCCTGGAATCAAGTAAAAAATTTCACAAATTATAACCATAAAAATGATTGCAATATGTAACCTTACACCCTCTACCATGGAACACTTTGAGCCAAAGCTGTACTCTATAATCTACTTGTGAAAAAACATTAAAAACTGCTCCTTGGAAAATTTTCTGCAAATGCCCATGTTGCCAGATATACAATAATAACAAAATTTATGATTAAATAAACATTAATAAAGAAAATTTGACAATAATAATTTTTATTTTATCAACTTGTACTGATAGGAAGAAGACACAGCTGGTTACCCACCAATTTTAATCAGCTTGGACGTAGTGAAAGTTCATAAAAAATGAGCGAATACGTGTTCGAGGCTTTCATCCAATGCATCTTGAAAAATATTAATTTTTGATATTTGAAAATTCAAAAGTTTTTAGTGAGTGGTTATAAGCCATAATAGACAATATATTCTTCAAGTGCTGCATAGCATTCTGTTAAATGATCATTAATTAACAGTGACTGTCAAACATGCTATAATCTAGCATTGATTTCCGAAAATTTTTAAAATATTTTTTATTTTTGNCAAAATTTATGATTAAATAAACATTAATAAAGAAAATTTGACAATAATAATTTTTATTTTATCAACTTGTACTGATAGGAAGAAGACACAGCTGGTTACCCACCAATTTTAATCAGCTTGGACGTAGTGAAAGTTCATAAAAAATGAGCGAATACGTGTTTGAGGTTTTCATCCAATGCATCTTGAAAAATATTAATTTTTGATGTTTGAAAATTCAAAAGTTTTTAGTGAGTGGTTATAAGCTGTAATAGACAATATATTCCACAAGTGCTGCATAGCATTCTGTTAAATGATCATTAATTAACAGCGACTGTCAAACATGCTATAATCTAGCATTGATTTCCGAAAATTTTTAAAATATTTTTTATTTTTGTTAATATGTTTTAATTAGGTAAAAACTATATAAATTTTGCATCTCCATATTTAATAAAATACTTATGTCAACAATCAGAATTGTCAATCTAACCTTCATATTTCTGGCAGTTTCGATTTTGTTTTGAAGTAGGAAGAAGCAGGATCTGAGATAGTTATAGTAGAATTATTAAAAAGATTAGAAATCTTGTGAAATGGCAGCATTATGGGAAAATCTTTGTAATCACCATTGATGAGTGAAGAATTGCTGACAACCAACATTGAAAGCAATGAGTTCTCATTTATTGCATTGTATGAAAAACAGAACATTACAGATGGCTTGAAATTTTGTACCCAAAGTTTGGAAAAGTTAAATGTTAATGTTATCAAAGGACCATAAAGTGATGCTTTATAAAAAAAATCCAGCAACAAGTTGCTTAACTTTCCTGGCAACATTTGGTGGTACCATCTGTTATTATATTTTATTAAAATAACTTTTTATATTTTTTAACTATTATAAAATGACAAAAAGCTTAATTTTGAGGGTAGAGATGGATTTTATTAAAAATTGTAAATGCTAATAACAAGTAAAATCATCATTAAGTCTCGTCTCACTGGAGATACAACCATCTTTATCTCCCCACCTGCTCAACCTTTAATCATTAAAATTTAATAGCATCAATCTCCCCAATAAACAAACCTCCCTGTAAAATTTCAAAAATTTTCAACATAAAGCACAAGAGTTATTAAGCTTCAAACAGGGTGAACAAAATCTTGCTCACCCCACACACTAACATCCATACATACAGTTCTAAATCATCATCACCAGAAAAATCACTTCCATTTAGTAGCACTTTACATTCAATTATGTCAGAAAGTGAAGATTATAGTCAAGAATCTAAAAAAATCAAAAGCAGAATACATATTGCTTGACACACACATTAAAATTCTGAATTTGGTAAGAGAGAAAATGCACAATTTGTAAGAAATATTTATGTTTTACATGTTTTTATGATATATCATCTGAAGAATTGTAATCCATTCATTATAATAAAGTTTAAAAATTAACAATAAGATGTACAATAAACACACTGTCATTTATTCCCAATTATGTATACAAATATTTTATTAAATATGCAAATGCAAAAATTTTATAATTTTTACCTAATTAAAAAACATTTAAAATATTTTATTTATTTTTAAAATTTTTGGGAATCAATCGAGAACAATATGTGTTCGGCAGTCAGTATTAATTAATAATCATTTAACAGACTATGCTATGTGGCACTTGTGAAATGTATTGTCTATTACAGCTTATAACCACTCACTACAAACTTTTGAATTTTCAAACATCAAATATTAACATTTGCAAGGAGCATTGGATGAAAACCTCGGACACATATTTACTCATTTTTGATGTCCCGTACTTTCACTATGTCCAAGCTGATCAAAATTAGTGGGTAGCCAGCCATGTTCTCTCCTTGTAAGTTACAGAGTATTTTAAGGTAAGATGAGAGCTAACCTAGCTATTGAAATAAGTGTATTCTAACCTAACCATCAGAAATCTGGTGAAACCTTTGACCTTTTTGTGTTCTCTGAGCATAAAGGGCCTAAAACCACAAATAAAAAAATCTGGCAAAACCACTTATCCAGCACCTGAGATGCCAATGTTGCTAGATTAGTGATGGTTAACGTGTAATAAATTTGCATTCAATAAATCATTAAAATTGCACAAAATTTGCAATATGAATCTGTTTAGAATGATTACTCAAGAACCATTGTTACCATCCCAGAATTATTACATGACATTTGAAGAAAGCAGACTGAAAGTATGTTTTATTATTTGACTATCATCTAGCACAGTGTTTTTCAACCTTTTTCTCATCACAGACCAGTAAAATTATGGATAATTTTACATGGTCCAGTAATTAAGTATAATTCATAATCACATATATTTATTACACTTAGAGTAACTCTAGATAAGTATATATATATATATATATATTTTGTTACATACAGAGAATATTTGATAAAATTTTCTTCTAGGGACCGGTGTAATGTTTTTGTGAACCAATGGTTGAAAAACACTAACCTAGCATACCATATTTCTGTATTGATATAGAGAAATATTAAATAATAGACCAAACACATAGTATCATCTTGTTTTGCATAGCTGATGCTTGTCAGCAGCCATACTATGGAAAGAAAATTCCATATAAATTTAAGTATGCCACCCCAGCTGTCTAAAAAAACAAGTAAGTGATTGCTTACTATAAACACATTTTAATGTTTTCCAGTTAATTGCAAAATATTTTATGGACCTAAATTTTCTTAAGATTCCATCTATTTTCTATTTTATTGTTAAAGATTTCTGTCTTAAATAAATCATTTGATTAAATTTGATTAAATTTTGAAAATTAAGAATTCATTTAACTTTTAAATAAAAATATGAAAAATAGTTAAAATAAAAATTATTACAATTTTTTCTACTAATTTTTTTATATTAAAGATAAATATAAGTTTAATAATTACTTTTGGGAGCCAACACTAATTCTTGTCCTGCCTGAAATGATATTTCTCGGGGTTCCTCTGCATGGAAATTGTACTGTGCTATTCCTAGGTAATAGTCTTCATTCTTTGTTGCCCAGTGATTAGAATCTAAAAATAAAATTAACTTTTTACTATTACTAATAACGTTTAATTAACTATAAGTAACTAATTGTAATTTATTTTCTTTTATATAATTTATAAATATCAAAAAAATTATCATAAAAATTAAATTTTATAAAAAAAAAAATTAATTTATCTTCAATATACTGAAACTACTGTATATATAACTAGAGTATATACCTAGTCTTGCTTGAGTAAAATAGGACAAAGATAAAAGATTTATATAAAGTTTTAAATTTACTTTTATTACTTAGAAAAAGCTTATACATAATCAACTCTTATACCTAACTTTCTGTTGTAGAGCTTTCTGATAAACAATAACTTTTGTTTTTCCCTCTGGCCAATACATAAATAATTTTTCAGGACTTTTGATTCTACAGCAAGCTACATATAGCTGGCCATGAGAAAAGCATGCACTTTCAAAGTTCATACCTACCACTTTTAATGATTGTCCATGAATTTTGTTTATAGTCATTGAAAAGACTAATCTGACTGGAACTTCATCTTAAACTGAAATGATATATCCATGGGAATCAATGTTATTCTTGGAATTACCATATCTTTTCCTGCTGCTCTTCCTGTTAATATTTTTGGCATCAGTTCTTTTGTGATCATTCTCATCTCGTTGCATAACTTTGGTGGGTTCAAAGTTCACAAAAACATTACTGGTGCTCCAACCTTTAGCTTTAGGTTATGATGTGGTAGTCCAACTGATTCCAGGGAGTTTAAAAACTCCACCGGGTACATCACTGCCTGATCTGTCTCAAAAAAAAACAGAATCAATGGACTTGTACATTGTGCAAGTTCCTGGAAGTTGTGCTTTGATATGCATATTCAGCTTGGCCCTATGAGACATTCTCAACTAGTTTTGTTCAAAATGGGCTTAACAATCTTCAATACTTTCACTATTTCTTAATGACCTTTTTCTTTTTGCTTCTGCACTCTTTTGGGCAATTAAAGCTTGTTTTTGGTGGCATTTTCAAAATTGGTTAAGATTCAGTTATTTATAAATTACTGCTATATTATTATTCAACAAACCAACAACCATCATTTTTACCAACAGATGGTGTTATATGTAAAGGCAGCAAGTCAAATGCAAAAGCTAATATACAGGGTGTTTATAATTAAAGTTTCACTTTGAAATGGCCATAAAATGAAAACTACTTGACAAAATGTTATCAAACTTGGTAATAGTGTACAGGACATCATGGGATTTTATTTCCCACGAAAAAGAAATAGTTCAAAAACTTACCACCAACGGGAAATGGCGTTATCTGCAATATTGTTAAATGAAAAAAAGACACGAAGACATCGTTGAAAATGTTTTTAATTGGTTTTAAAACAAAACTATTTGTGGGGTTACTCCTGATATGGTAAGAGGTACTGTTGAGAGAAGAGTAATGTGATGTAACTTGCTTATCAAAAATGGTGGACACCACATTGAACATGCTCTGTAACACGTTTTAAAACTGATTAAAAGCATTTTCAATGATGTCTTCATGTTTTATTTCATTTAACAATATTGCAGACAGCACCATTTTCCGTTGGTGGTGATTTTTTGAAGTTTTTTTCACAAGAAATAAAATACCATGACGTGCTGTACACTATTACCAAGTTTGAAAACATTCTGTCCAGTAGTTTTCATTTTATGGCCATTTCAAAGTGGAACTTTAATTATAAACATCCTGTATTACCCCAATATTCTGGGGTAGTATATAGCTTAGTGTCAATTCTTGAGTCAAGTAATATTCATATAAACTTTGGTCCAGATCAGTTTAATTATAAAGATTTGTATAATAAACAAGCCAACAAGAATTCATTTATTATTGTATTATTATTGTTGGTTTGTCCATTATACAAATTTTTACTGAAATAATATATATAAAGTATAGTCCATATATACATACACAGCTCCCTGTTTCATCTGAATTGGTCAACCTATACTGATAAATTAAAAATTACAGAGTTGTTGCCTTGCACTATTGATCCCAATTTGTGTTCCACTGATAAAAATTTTGGATTTCACAATAAAATTAGTTCTTGGGTCATTAATTAATAGTTTAAAATTTGTATAAAAAATTTATTTAAGTAATGTTTCAAAAATTTTTAATATTTCATAGGGAAAGTAGGACCTATGCATAGACTATGTATGGCTCACATTTCTGGAAAATACGATCTGTTGAGTGTAATAGTAAGAAAATTGGATTACATATTTGATTCTTTCCTGGGTATTTGTTTCTTTGTATTCGAATACTACAGTATTTATTCCTATTGAAGAAACCATTGCCCAAGAGTAGCAACGTTGAATACTTTAATGTCTATTTAGCAATTTACAAGAAATATCAAATGCATTTGATTCTCCCATTACATATGCTGATGAAATCATTTGCAAAAGTTAATCCTTTACATTAATTAGTTCAAATTAATTATATTTACTTTTTTATTATTAAAGTGTATTTTTTGTATGTTCAAGAAATTACTTTTGGTTTATTGTTTCATTTATAATCAATTAAAATTGTCAGGGATCAAAAATTTTTATCAAGGTGAAGAGTTCTGCAGTCAAAATAAGTTGGAAATTGCTGCACTATTATATTATAGAATCAAAATTGTAAACTAAAACTATACACTAATACTGAAGGAAATGATAAATCTACTAACACACCTTATAACTCCAGCAGAATAAACATTTAATAACTAAAAAAAACATTTTCAACCATGTTGAATGATCATTATCAAGTTTATCTAATTAAAATCATAGAAAATTAAAAACTGCAACACAAATTCAAATCTTACAAATTGCCTGATACAAATGGCTTTCAGAAAGTGATGTGTCATCAACCACACTGTGCATGTTATTTATAAGATACTATGGGCATTGCCTGGCAAAATACACTGCTGGCCATTAAAATTGCAACACCAAGAAGGAAAGCAAATAAAAAAAAGATATTTATTGTATGTAAACAGTATGGCATGAAGACAAAATGATTAAATTTGCAAGCAGTTTGGGGGTTTACAGGGGTCCGAAATTAGTACACACATTTGCCACCCCTGGCAGCTGAAACGGCCCTTATCCAGTTAGGCATGGAGTCAAACTTGGCTTGGATGACAGAAATGGGCAACTCATTTGATGCTGCTTCAAGTCTATGCCATGCTTTATCAACCGTATTAGCTGGAAAGGGGTGGCAGGCCAGTCTCTCAGCAACCCATAACCAGATGTTTTCAACTGGTGAGAGATCTGGAGACCATGCAGGCCAGGGCAACAATCGAATACCCTCTGTATTGAGGAAGGTCAGAACACGACGTGCAACATGAGGTCTTTCATTATCTTGTTGGAAGATGGCATTTCGCAGGCCTCGAAGATAGGGCACAACCACTGGATGTAAGATGTCAGAAATGTATCGATTTGTGTTCAAATTACCATCGATCCAAACTAGAGATGTGTGTGTCATGTACCCAATGGCTGATCATATCATCACATCAGGTGCAGGGCCCCTACGCCGATATCGAATGCAAGCAGGTGAGGAGCGGTCTCCTCGGAGCTTCCAGACATGTATACAGTCATCAGAATGCTGCACGCAGAACTGGGACTCGTCTGAAAAGAAGACATTCTGCCATTCCTGTATTCAGCTTTGTCATTGGGTGCACCAGAGTTGCTGTCTCTCTCTATGCTGCATTGTCAAGGGAAGCCGAAGTAATGGTCGCCATGCTGACAGTCCACGCTGCTGCAAACATCGTCGCACCATACAAGCAGATACTGGACGTGCTTCAAACAAGATCATTTCCTGACTAATGGTTTGTGATGTGGTTGTATGGTTTTGCACAGCCGACCTCACAATATGTCTGTCCTCTCGGGTGTTATTCATGAGAGGGCATTGTGATCCTGCATGCTGTTCAGTAAGACCCTCAGCAACCCATCAATTCCATATTTGCATGACAGTAGTTGGATTTCGACCAGTGCAGGTGACAATATTATGGAACGATAATCCACACTCTCGATAGGCAATGATCCTGCCTCTATCGAATTCCAATACTTGCTAATAAGCATTTCTTCTTGTTATTCGAGGCATAACACGATATTCTAATGAAATCCTGACCTTACAAAGTAATTTCTGAATGAGAAATCCACTGCACAACTTTTCTTTTATGCAGTGCTTCAGAGGTCGTTTGTCCCTCCTGCATCATCTAAATGCGCTGAAATATTAATCATTTGCATATCCCAACCTCTTCTTCCTTTCATATGATTTTGATGTTCGTATCATCATTCCTTCTTGGTGTTGCAATTTTAATGGCCAGCAGTGTATAACACCACCAAAGATTAAGATTAGAAGTACAAAATAATCTATTACATTACATTATAGTATTTGATTCATATAACTACGAAGGTTATCTCATGTTTATCACAATAAAAAAGGTTTATCACACAAAGCAACCATCTAACACATTTTAAAAATTCTTTAAATTGTGTTAAATTGGTCACTTGGTACGAACCCTTATGTAAGATAACCTTTGTAGTTATATAAATCAAATACTATACTATAACAAACATTAAAACAAAAACCATACAAAGAGTTGGTTATTTCAGCCTACCATTGTCATGTTTATCATGATACTCAGACGGTATGAAATGGCACAATTTCATTGGTCAAATAGACGTCTGTAAAAATTTAAGATGTATTTTCAATTGTTATCATATTTTTTCTTAATGTTAACTCTAAGAAACTGTACCATTCACAGCCACACATCAAATGGTAATCTGTCAACCAATCAAATTTAAAAAAAAAATGGGACCTAAATAATTAAACCCTCAAAAACCACTTAAAACATGGTTACCGGCAAGTACAAAATTTATATTATGTAATTTTCCTATTCGAATTTCATCATACTGCTGGTCTGATAGAAAGAAAGGACTGTTGCAGAAGGGAGTTGAAGTAATTCGACCAAAAGTAGTCATTGACCTCCTTCAGGAAGAGAATAGTCAACGACTGCTAATTAATACTGGTCTGCTATTAATATTTGAAAAGTGATCTATGTTAGACAGGTTGTGATGGTCCCGACATGTGATTGAAGTTGCTAACCTTAATGTCCAAAAGACCTGTAACTTGTAAATGTTGTTTAAATAAAAAAACATTGCTTTTATATGATAATAAAGTGTTTATATTTTGGCAACAGATTGTATGAACTATATGGAAAGTACATTCTCATAAATATCATGTTTACAGCAAAATTATAAGGTTGCAATTTGAAAAAACTGTAGCCTATAAATTCCAACTGTTGTACATCTGTCTGTCCATCCTTCTTAATTTCAAGAATAGAGTTAGATAGTTGCAAGTTGAGACCAGATGTGGAAAGCTTAGAGGCTGGAATTTAGGTTAACTATATGGCTTACAGTTTTAACTGGAAGTCATGTTACTTCAATTCAAAAATTTCCTCTGAAAAGAGTTAGACAGATAACAGGAACAACACTATTGCTAGCAGGAAAAGTATGACGTACAGGGGCAAGACACCAATAAAAGAATTCAGAACATTGTGACTAAAAATCCAGCCATTGTGACAATGTCACAATAATCACTCATTAGAATTAGTTTGATTTGTTTGGTTACGGCAATGTGACATGTGAGCAATCTGCCAAGGAGGATGCATCCTGGGTAGACTTTATGGGAAGCTGGACCCTATTTACCCTATTTAGGTGTTACTAACAAAGAAAACACAGAAAATGCAATGTGGCCAGCCCACTGGCCATGCCTGAACCTACAACTAACTGAGTTTGATGGTTTATGCAATTGGATAGTGGAGGGTGCTTATTAGAATTAAGGTAGTATTGTTCAGAAATAAAAAAAAACCCCAAGTCGTTAGATGTGGAAAATTAAACACATATATAGTTTTTGCAGGGTAACACTTTTGATACCACATAGACAAGTGCTATATGCTATCTGTCTCAGTAATGATATAGCACATCTATTTTGCACTATAGCATAGTTGCAGTAATTAAGTGAATAAAATATAAATTTTTTATAATTATATCAATTTTTGTAAGAATTATATTTAGTTTATTTTGTTAACTTTTTTGCCAATAGATGGTGCTAATAAATTGCATTTCTGAAAATCAATCAATTTCTATTGATAATTTTGGGTGGGATGTATAACATTATCTAACTTAGACGTATTTGAATGTAACTGCCTAGTTTCAAGCCCACCAGTGGCCAAGCGGTCTTCGTACCTTGAACATTGGGAGTTTGGTCGTGGGTTTGCGCCTCGCCCAGATGGGCTGGCCACATGGAGTTTTCTGGGTTTTCTCCATGTCTGTATCACCTAAATAGAGGCCAGTTTCCCTTAAAAAGACCTCCCGGAAGGCATCCCCAAGTATTGCATTGCCATAACTTAACCAACAACAACAGCCAAGTTTCATAGAAATTGGTCAAACGGTCTAGAAGTGTATAGCAAACAAACAAACATCCTCATTTATCTAAAGAAAAAAATTTATATATCTATATTATTATTTTAAATATACCAAAAATACAATACAATAAATATATACAACTAAGAATTGCCAATAGTGCATAAATATCACTTTGATATTATGGTATTCCATAGTGTGAAGCCAACATAATACACTTTGAGAGGCTTAAAATCTATAAATGTCCCTATTCTGCAACATAGTCTCTACATACTTGAAACTGATTTACAGATAGGAACATTTTGTAGATTTTGAGCATCTCCAAATTTATTATGTTGTCTGCATCCCATGTTGGATTCACACTAAGGAATATCCTAATATTAAAGTGATTTTTCTTCCTATTACAAACATGTTTGTATCAGAGCTCATAAATCCAATATTTGATTTGATTGAAAAATAACTTAAAACTGAAAAGAAAGATAATTCATTTTAATAACAATTGTAGAAATAAAAAAGATGAAATGTTTCAATTACCTGAATCAGGATTTCTAGCAATAGAATTGAGAAGCTTCCATATCAACCATGGGGCACCAAAAACAACTGCAAAATACATTAATATAGGCCAAGAGGCTTTTGGTCTTTTCCTGTCATTCTCATCCAATGACATTGGCAATTTCGAAGCATTGTTCCAAGCTTGTTCTGCAGCTGGATTTTCTTTAATTAAACCTAAATATTAAATATTTAAATTTCATTAATATTTTTAGAATGAATGAATGAATCAATTCTATAATCAACAATAAAAATCTGACCAGTATTTTTCAGTTACAGGTAGCTCTCATATAACACATTAGTCACATTCCAAAAAGTGCTGTGTTATGTGAATCTGTGCTATATGAAACAAAGGACTAATGCAAAACATGGGGGTTAGGTTGCAAACATTAACAAAAGTATACTATTGTTTTTTTGTCACTAGAGAAATATGTTTATTAAAGCAATCAATAATTTATTTCCAATATACAGTCGACCCCCTATAACACGGTAGATACATTCCACTTTATAAGAATTTCGCATTGTAGGAATCTTTAAATACATAAGCCAATCACAGCCCGGCACATGTGCAGTTTACGGACTATGGCTGTTTGAAAGGTTTTCTTTCATAAAATTAATCGATTCTAGACTAATTTGACTCAACATTTCCAAAACACGTATAATTTTTTGGGAATAATCCGTATAAACTATGCTATAAACAAAAAATTGTAGGATTAATTATCAAGTGTGCACCGTTCAACAACGCCATTGCTTAAGCTTGTTTTCGTCGCGGAGCAGCGCACCAAACGGCAGACACGTTATCTGATAAGTTATTTTTCTGCGAAAAATTCGTTGAACTTTGGAGACATTATTAATAGAAATAATTTTTATGGCCGTTGAATAAGAAATGTATAAAATTACAGTACTGTATTAGACTTACAGTACCTAATTTATATACTGTACAGACAACAGTAAACTCAACTTATCCCCCTAAAGTCTCTGTAGCGTGTAAGTAGTTTGGCTGCTTGTCCACTATTGGTCCAGATTCGACCAATCCTGTCACGACACGAGTCAGCGATGACGTTTTACCATATTTTACAAGTCTCTTTTAGTGTCTTTATATGAATACGATTGCAATTTTTTCGCCGCAATATACGAATCCGCATTATGGGGGGGTCGATTGTATAAGTATCACAAGAACCCAGTGTGTTAATAATTAACCAAAAAAACAGCCTAATTAATCAAGCAATATTATGTTACAAATAATATATAATAAACATCCCAAAGCCCAATATATTGATACTAAACCAAACTATTGCCATAATTAAATTGGGCTATTATTTTGTTATTAGTAATAACTAAATATTAAGTAATTTGTAAAATTAATAAGATGTGATCACACCTCTTTTACCAAATTATGTTTCTTTAATTGAATATAGTATACAGTAATGTTGCTAATGTAGACATTCTGAAGATCACATCTTATTAATTTTTATCTTTAATTATGATATTGTAACATGTATACACAGTGAAAGCCATGTTGATAGTCTCATTTAATGTTGTTCTTATGTAAAAATTTTTCAATGAGATTTCCTTAATTTAAGGTCTTCTCACGGTTATCGTCGTTAAAATCTAATATTTCACCCACTATTTATTCTAAATGTCATCAAATCTTCATATAAGTCAGCTGGAAATTCAGTTAACTGTGCAAGCAATTTTTGCAAAGTTTTGTAAATACAGTAGATCCCCCTATAAGACAGTAGATACGTTCCGTTCTTTATGAATCAATTTTGTAGGAATCATAGTTGTTTGAAAGGTTTTCTTTCATAAAATTAATCGATTCTAGACTAATTCGACTCAACATTTCCAAAATACGTATATTTTTTTGAAAATAATCCGTATAAACTACGTTATAAACAAAAAATTGTAGGATTACTTACCGAGTGTGTACCTTTTGACTACGCTCGTTGCTAAAGCTTGGTTTCGTCGCGGAACAGCGCATCAAATTGCGGCCGCGATTTCTGATATTATTTTTCTGCGAAAACTTCGTTGACCTTTGGAGACATCATTAATATAAATAATTTTTATGGCCGTTAAATAAGAAATGTTTCTTTCACAAGAAATGTATAAAATTACAGTACTAAACAGACGATAGGTCGCCTAACTCGCCGTAGCGTGACGCTAGACGGCGAAAAATATATATTTAATTATAATAAAGTTACAATAAATAATTAATATATAATTATATGTACAGTACCTAATTTATATATAATTTATATAATACTGTCCAGACGATAGAAATCTCTCCGTAGCGTGGCGCTACGGACGGCGGGTAAGTAGTTCGGCTGCCCGATGACGTTTTACGTATTATAGGAGTTATTTTTACCGTTGTTTACAGATAATGCCACAATTTTTATAGGAATCATAACTATAGGAAACGCTTTTATAGGGGGATCTACTGTAATAAAGTTTATGAACAAGATAGCAATTTGTCTTTACAAACGTTGACTGAATTTTGGGCCATTCTGTATAAAACTATTAAACTTAATGATTAATTGTTTATAATTATGTAGTGATTTAAATATTTAATAATTGTTTCAATATGTTGTAAGGAACTTTCCTTCCTCCATCTTGCAGAATGACTAACAGAAAGATTTGATTTGTTCATCTGAGTGAAGTACATTCCTGTATGATAAGTCCTTAAATTATCAATGTACTCCATGATTTAGAAACACATTAAAAATATTAACCATTGCTAACCATAATTATATTAATAGTACACTTAACAATAAAACTAACTTATTGGAATACAAATACTTAAAATAACCAAAACACCTTAGTATTTCCAGCAACAAAGTATTTAATAAAATAAAAACATATTCGACTATTTTTGATAGTCTTCTTCAGTTAAACCACTTTAAAACAAAAAAGAACATAAAATAGAACGCAAGCAATACAACAGTTTAAAACTTTGAAATTACAACAAAATAAAAATAAAATAAAACGTAAAAACAAAATTAAATTAAAGTGGTTTAACTGAAGAAGACTATTAAAAATAGCCAAAAACGTTTTTATTTTATTAAATACTTCGTTGCTGGAAATACTATGGTGTTTTGGTTATTTTTAGTACACTTAACTATTTCAACATAAGTAATTGAAATAAAAAAAAATTTTTTTCCTCCTACTTTTTATTTTTATATATAGAATAGTGAATTATCAAAATTCTTCTTGGTTTAGCATTTAATTGAGAAGTGGGTGAAAATTGAGTTACAAGATTTTATCTAGACAGAAAGTTATCAAAAATCTAGACAAAGTTAACAAAAAGCATATAAAAATATTTCTGTTAATACTTACCAAGTAAATATAAAATTCTTCTACAACACCACTGTAAGGTTCTTATTATTGCAAGCGTAGATAATATGCGAGTTAAATGGTTACGCAGTCGAGAAAAATGTTCTGCCACTCCTAAAACAGCACGAAAAGAACTATGCACTGCATGATAAGTAGATTCTAACATCATACTTACGGAACCAACTGCATGAACAAATGATTCAATTGACTGAAATGCAGGACGAGAACTTTCCTCGGCAATATGAATAAAACTATTATTATTATCGGAAAAATTGTTATAACAGTCATAGTTATATCCATATCTGTTACCACCAAATCCATAATTATACATAGAATTATAAGGACCAGATAAACCATTGAAACTATTATATGGACTAAAATGATTGTAACTTTGATATCTAGAATATTGATTATTTCGATCAATAGGTCTTGGTGGCAATGGTGGAGGTAGGCCTTTTTCATTCAGTGACGAATCTGAAACAGTTCCGGCAAATTCAGAATTCATCAATGGACGATTATTACTCCTAGAGACAAAAAAGATACCGTATTACATTATAAATACATATTAAATTCAAGCATTATAAATTAAAATTATTATTACAACACTAAACATTATATCTGAATTGTATAAATATAAAAATTTATACAATTCAGATATAATGTTTACTCAAGTAATAAAATGTCAATGAAATCTTATACACACACACAAAATTTTTTCCTTAAACAATCAAATTTTACTATATTCTCTCATAAATATATTTTTAAAATTTAACAAAATTAAATAAATGAAATCTGTAAGTCTGTTGCTCTTTGTAAACTTCATGCTATTATAAAGAACTGAAATGTGCTTCAAAATCATATATTTATTTCTCAATATAGTCATCGTTAAGGCTAACACATTTCACCCAATGTATAACAAGTTTTTTTCATTCTGTCGCTGAAAAATTCTTCCAACTTTTCTCAAATCCAGGACTTGACAGCTGTCTTCACCTCATCATCCGAGGTGTAATGATTACCTTGAAGTCTCCCCTGAGTAGAGAAAAAAAATAAAAATCACAAGGCGCAAGATTGGGGGAATAAGAAGGGCATGGAATCGGTTCAAACTTCAGGTTTTGCAGAGCATCTCCAGTTGTGCACTAGGTATGTGGATGAGCATTGCAAGATTATTGGTGCCAGGCTTCCTCTAACACAACAAATAATCACCTGGAGCCAATAATCTTGCAACATGACAACGCTCGTCCACACACCTCATACTCATTACTCATACTTATTTTTTTTAACCCCATTCCCAATAACCCGGCATTTTCACAAACTCGGCCACCCTTCGGTCCACATTAGGCTGAGTTTGAGACTCTACTGTAATAAGTTCAAAACTTTTTAATCGTAAATTTGAAAGAGTATTTGATGAAAAAAAGCTTCATTATTTTACTGCATTCTACAGTCAGAAGACCAGACATTAGTAGATATTTATTTGTAAAATTCAGGAAACAGGTTTTCTTAAAATAAATTCACCATTAAAAATGGATAGAGTTGTTATTGACAAACAACAAATTAATTTTTCTCAGCAAAATAACCACACCACAAAAACATTAAAGTGCAGTGACATTTTTAATTTTCCAATGTTTTCAATCATTTCTTAGAAAAAATTTGTAAACAGATATGCATATTGAATTCTACAATATGCAATCTAATGAAAACGAGCAATTATTTATTGTGACAGTGTCACAATGTCGGGCTGCAGTTTATAATCAAATTTTTAAAATGTATTTACTTTAAAATATATGCTCTCCACCTCAAATGAGTAGTGGTTTGCCCCTGTACATCATACTTCTCTGTTAACAACAGTATATTCCAGTCATCTATTGACACTTTTCATGGGAATAGTTTTGAATTGAATTGACATGACTTCTGGTTTGCATTGGAAGTTTGTATATACTAACTATAAATTCCCACTGTCAGAGATGACAGTGGAAATTTATAGGTTTTACAGTTTTTTCAAATTAATGGAATAATAATTACAAAAATTGAAAATCATTCAATCACTTAAGAGCTTAACTACTTTTCTTCAAAAACTCAGAGAATGTTCTATTGCTATGAAAGCATAAGTTTAAGAAAAATCAAACATCATTACTATAATAATGATTATTCTCAAGTTTTTCCTCCCATAGCAACAGAACCTTCTTCTGAGATCCTGAAGGTGAGCAGTTAAGCTCTTAAGTGATTGAATGATTTTCAATTTTTGTAATTATTATTCCATTAAAAGCAATATTTTTTTCCTTAAATCATTGTGGAGTCTTACTTTAATATGAAATTTAAAATAGTCTATCTCTGCTTTACAATATTAACCTGTTCCAAAGACACCTACTATATTATTAAATACAGTACAATTCTACAGCATAAACCAAAAAAGATGTTGTGCTTTAGTAATTAATTTCAGACTCTAAAATTGAAGTAAGATATCCAGAAACAAAACCTTTTTTATCAGTGTTGTATTCGACACAAAATTCACTAACATTTTCAGCCTCCACCAAGGCCTTGTTAAGGTGAACTAATTGGTGTCCCCCTTGAACCATTAGAACAATGCTGCCCAAGTTATAAACATTGCATATATTACGTTTCACCCCTCCGCCTGTCTCCATTGAAATTCGAGGAATTTGAACAAAGACAGACGGAGGGACTCTCGCATTTCAGCTGAGAGTACTCTGGTAGATTTTGGGCAGCCTAAGATTAATTTACATAATTGTACTGTACATACTTAGGCTGCCTTAAATTCACCAGAGGACTCTCAGCTGAAATGCAATTATATAACATGAATGCTGTCATGAAGAATTTTAACAATTTTTTAATGTGTAGACGTTGTAGCCTACAGAAAAGGGTCGACTTTGAGATCATCTTTAATTTTGTAAGATTTTTTATTGTGCTCATCGGTTATTTGTGGAAGTGTTGCTCCACATCGCCGGCTGTTTTGTGGTTCCTGGACTGGAATAAAAGGATGATAATAGGCAAAAAGGACTCAAAATTTAATTTGTATAGTCTTAATTTTTCATTAATGAAATTAGTCAAAATAATCCTGGGCTTCTATGTACAAAAAAGGTTTTGTTTAAGGATGTTTATTACTCAATACAGTGTTTATATTTAGAAGACGTTTATTTTGTGAAGTAAGATAGTTTCTTCTCCAAAAAAAAAAAAGATTTTTACAACAAAATTATTCATTTGTTTATTTTTTAAATTAAGGATTAAACTTTTTTCAATGTCTTCTAACAATAAAGAAGGAAAAAAACCAGCTTATGAATAAATAACATAAAATTGGAACAATTTTTTTAAAATATTACAATTACAAATATATAGTGCAAAATATCTTTCACCATAAGATTTTTAAAATTTATTTTTATACTCTTTATACTTAGATGATTTTTAAGATATACAAATGCAGAAGAGATTTGTGTGAAAGATCAAAATCAAATATATCATAGAAGTGCCACCCCTATGCTATAATACAGTATCTTAATAGTTTAATGTAGAAAATTTAAACAGAATCTAATAAAATAATTTTTTAAAATCAAAATATATTTGATGAAAATGATAAATGAAGATTATACAAAACATTGCATTTCTCTGCTATTTGAACCAATCTTCACACATGAGATCTGACTGGTGCCAATTATAAGCCTCATCATCAATGAACCTTATTATGGACAGTATGATTTTGTAAATTGTAAATTGAACAGCAAAGAAGTATGCTACTTCTTTGCTGTTCAATTTACTTGCTGCAAAATTATATAAGTATGCATTTCAAATGTATTTTGTTTTAGATAACATCCACCTCAATTGTTAGAATGTCTTTGCAACATGGATAGTCTGATTAAGAATGCGAGATATTATACATAATCTCAGTGTTGATGAACAGACTATACTTGACAATGTTGATGAAGAAAATTCTGAAGAGTTTGATCACGAATCAGAGTTATCAGATATTCCACACAATATAATCACTTCTGAATCTGAAAAGGATGATCATGATTTAGGTACAATGGTAGGTAATGACAAGTATATGGTCTTCCATTCCACTTTCACAAAAAAAAATTCAGTCACGTAACATTATAAGAAAGACTTTACACAAAGTTGTTCTTCCACCTGAAAAAAATTTGTCAACATATAAATAAGTGAAAATTGTCAAGTAACTTCTGGTATCTTTCTACAAATTGTTCAGTTTACAAACCAAGAATCTGTACAAATATGCAGTAACCATAATCTGAGATACTAATGGAAACCATCTTACATAATAGAAAGCCAAGCATTGTTTGAACTTAGTACTGTAGGATATTTGAAACTAATTAAAACAAGTTACAAAGCTTTGTGGAATCCTGTTTTTTGGTCCTCCAATTTTCAGAGCTACTATAAGACTGTCAATTCAAGAATCTTTTTCAATTTGTCACATATGATGATAAAAGTATAAGATCAGAACATTTTAAGAAAAACAAGTTAGCTCCAATACACGGCTTAGAGAATCAAATTATATGCAATCTTAAGAAACATTACTTTAGTACTCTTTCACAGGTGTCCATTCAGACAGTACATGCTTAAAATTTGATGGTTGTGTGATTATAACACATTTTATTCTCTAAATGGTATTCCATATGCAAGAAAAGAAAATGACCAAGAGAACAAAGATTATCTAGTTTAGTTTCAAGACTAACAGAACTATATTATCATACAAATAGCAATGTAACTTCTGATGATTATTTTACAGATTTTGAACTAGCAAATCATTATCATCAGACTAACAATATAGTAGACCCCCCTATAAAATGGGTTCATATAATGCAGATTCGTATATAATGGCAAAAAAATTGCGACCGTATTCGTATAAATAGGCTAAAAGAAACTCCTAAAATACGGTAAAACGTCATCGCCGACTCATGTCGCGACAGGATTGGTCGAATCTAGACCAATAGTGGATATTGCACAAACAATTGAGTTTAATTAATTAAACGAGCAGCGGACCTACTAAAAACCATTTATGATTTAACGGCAATAAAAATTATATTTATATTAATGATGTCTCCAAAGTTCAGCAAATTTTTCCCAGAAAAATAATTTATCAGGAAACACGGACCTGCCATTCTATGCACTGCTCCTCGACGAAAACAAGCTTAAGCAATGGCGTCGTGGAATGGTGCTTACTCAGTAAGTAATCCTGCAATTTTTGTTTATAGCATAGTTTATATGGATTATTCCCAAAAAATTATGTGTGTTTTGGAAATGTTGAGTCAAATTAGTCTAGAATTGATTAATTTTATGGAAGAAAACCTTTCAAACAGTCATAGTCCATAAACTGTATACGTGCTGGGCTGTGATTGGCTCATGTATTTAAGGAATCGTAGAACATGAATTTCATAAAAAACAGAACGTATCTACTGTGCTATGGGGGTAGACTGTAGTTGGTATAGTAAGGAAAAATAAAAACTTTATATCTACTAGTTTCCTTCCTAATAAAAATAGAGAAAAATCATGGTTTTAGTTT